AATCGCACTCTCGCCTGCATTTCGCGCACTCGACACGCGCGATCTCCGCAGAGGGTTGCACTTTCGGTTGACGCTGTTCGTCCCACCCTCCGCCTTTAAGAGAGAATTTATAAAGTGGGGAAATGTTTTTCATTAGGACATCTCCCGCGCTAGTTTTCCATGCTCATCATTAATTAGGACATCTCTCGTGCTAGTTTTCCATACTCATCATGGCACTTGCATCATTACACTTGCATACTTTGACACTTGCATACTTAGCACTTGGATGCTTGCGCTCTTCCACTTACACTGGGGTACGTATAGCGTTCATGTTGTAGTGCAAGTGTGGTGGAAGCGTCAGTGTGTAAGTGTAAGTGTCGAAGTGTCAGCGTTCAAAGGATTTTCCGGAAGAACCCTTCGCAGTGCTTTCGGGAAAAACTTCACTCTGAAAAAGTCACTCAGTAAATACAGGTTCTCTCTCTCTCTCTTCTTATATCTCTCTCTGAAAATCCACAACAGATCTACAAAAAAATCTCTGCTAGAAACTCTCCATATGACTCTCTCCTGAAAAAACTCATATATATATATATGCACTCTCTCTCCAGAGTTAGATCCCTCAGAAAAATCATCAAAACATCACCAAAAACCCAACAGATGCTGACTCTATATATGCCTTGATTTTTACAGAATAAGATATATCTTACTTAGATGATAAGATATATATCTTATCATATTAAGATATATCCAAGCTGATAAGCTAAGACATTTCTTGGCTATTATTAAGCTAAGAGGATCCTTGGGGAAGCGCGCTACGCAGCACGGAGGATAGCTCTGCTCGACCAGCCTGCAAATTCTTCCCATCTGCGCCCACATCAATCGTGTCAGCATGGTCCATGTTGTAGACCATGACTTTCTTCCTGCCACATGTCGCGATAAAAAATGAGATCGGGTGAGCTGCGCTAAACCGAACCCCTGTTCTATGAGGGAAGTTTGTTGAAGCTCAAGGTAAGCGATCAACAACTACAGTAACAGTAAGTATGATGCTTGGACTTTCGAACTCCAGTTCAATTAAAGAAGTGTAAACAAAGTGGGCTGTCAAAAAGTCATTCTCAACATTCTATAAGAAGCGCCTGGCTGCTGAAAACTTCCTCGTGAAGCTCCTTCCAAGCTGGCGGTTCTTCTTTCCTCCCAGTATAAATGTGCTACAAACCATTTCAGCGAAACAGCGCCTCTCAATTCACAAAGGACACTTGCGTGCACGTGCCAAAGCCATTCGGCTTTGCACTGAGTGTTGTCGTCCAAGTGCAGCGCGTTGCCGAATTTGCTAGTACCACCGCCAACGAAGGCATGGGCAACGAAGCGTGAACCCATCAAAATGAAAGACAAGTAAAGTGGTAGCTAGTTGAGTTGGCAACTGAACAGTGACTCGTGGAATTCTCCCGTTAGGTAAACATATCCAGCTGGCCTTGGACACTACGCAAGCAAAATGCTATCTGTAGGACCCGGGCAAGATTGAACTGCCACATGGACTTAGGCCTGGCCTCTGGGCACGCGTCGCTTAAAAAGACTTGGGGGATACGCAAAGTGTAGTTAGTTGAGAGTCAAGACTGTTCACTTCCGACTGGGTGATCTGCGTTTGTGATCGCGTTGTTGTTGTAGTTGCCGTCTCAAGTCTCACACACGTTACATGTTGTTGTTTTTAACTTCTCAAGTTGCCGTCGCAGTCACTGTCCACGCCAATCCACTGCCCACGCACGTCCACGCACTCATACCCACACCCCGCACCCCGTACCCAACAATCGCACCCCGCACCCGTACCCGTACCCAACCATCGCACCATACGTTTGTACCCTGCCTTACCATACATTCGTATCCTGCCGTGCTGGTTCAATAGAAAACATGCGTTTCAGATGTCTTGAAAATAGCTAAGTTTAAACCTTTCGGCTGTGTTTCTTTAGACTAAAGCACGCGTGACCATAATTCCTGACATAGGTACTTAAAGACTGTACGGCGTAAACACTAAAGCGCGCGGGGCACTTGATACTAATGCGTCCGGGAGCTAGCAGTAAGTGTGGCGGGCAATACTGACTGGTGACAGGCAAAGCAATGGTGGCAGGGTGTCATGTGACAGGCGTAACGCCCAGCAAAATTTGCAAAATATAAAATAGATCGTAAAGTAGCAAAATTTTGCCTTGGTTGACAACGGTTGCGAACGCTGAGACAGGGTCGCGAACAATATAATAAGGCTCTACCCCCAGACCCCCAGAGTTAAACGAGAACCCTTCGCTACGCATTCGGTGAAGAAGTGTTAACTTTAGCTAACTAGTTCTTTACAGTAATGCTATGTTGACCGCTATGTTATTTCTTTTTTGTCAGATATAGAAACAGATTGCGTAAGTAGTGATGGTCTCCAACCTGCTTGCGATGGCCTCCAACCTACTAGTGACGATGGCCTCCAACCTACTATTATATAGCTAATGGCATCCAACCTACTAGCGACGGCGTCCAGCCTACTAGCGATGGCCTCTAACCTACTAGCAATGGCCCCTACCAGCGATGGCCTCCAGCCTACAAGCAATGTCGTCCAACCTACTAGCGACGGTCTCCAACCAATTGGCCCCAATAGCGACGCGCTAACCTTCTAGGATATACTGTTGGAGCTAAATTTTGCCTTTTCGATTTAGACTCGCTTCATTTGACTTGAACAGAATGAACAAAATCATCGTTATGTGTTCAGAACTGTCAGCGTCTGAGAGAGGTGAAGGTGCTGGGGCTCCGGGCAGCCAAAGTGCTGACACGTCGACTCCGCGAAGGCGGAATGGTAGCAACGGAACAGCAAACTGAAAACAAAAGACACTGCGGCCGATTGGACTTGGCGCTGGAGGCGCCCTATCTGACGGACGGCGTTTGCAGCAGCTACTCACAGGTGAAGTGCAGGCGCCAAAGTATGTTGAGATATATGTTGAGACAAGGTGCGCGAGGCACACGAGGAGCCGAGAGAGAAGAATACAGCGCATCATGATCATCTAAGAACTATACGCTGAGTTTGGACAAGCTTTTTAGCGCGAATAAGTAATTCACAAAAGTCGCAAGCCTTCCTATAGCCTTCCTCATTCTGACACGCTTCAGAAAACTCTCACAGGCAGATTTCGTGGTGATTTGCGGCGATGGCGACGAGCGTCAGGCGGCCACAGGAGCAATTGAGGCGCGAAGAATCTTGTGGGTTTGCGCGTCTTTTTTTATGTGAGCGCGAGACAATGGACCAATGCTGTGTCTTCAATGAAGGCCACTCTTTTTGATGAAAACGCGAAGCAGCGCTTTGTCAATGCCTTCGCGGTGATCCGATGTCGTTGCGCGTTTACTTTGATATGCTTCAGGATGCAATGAACAAATATATGAACGCTGCGGACTTTGAGCTTCTAACACTTGGGCACTGAAGGCGCTGTCGGGCTCTTCAGTGGAGCCGAACAGTGTGCAGTGCGCCATGGTTGATAGGCGCGCCAGGCACAGTTCAGTAGACCTGGGCCTGCTCAACGGTGTGGCGCGTACGGTTCACATGTACTTATGCCACGCATCAAGGCTCAAACCTTGAGGCGCAAAAAACATTCAGCTGCGCCCACGAGAGTTTTCACGGTAGCGGAGCCGCCCGGGGCTCTCAATAAAGATAGCCCAGGGAGCAAGGTCGAGAGGCCGTGCGGAAGAAGAAGAAAAGAAGACCCAGTGGAAAGGCGCTGGAAGAAGAAAGGTGAAGAAAAGATGACGGCCGAGAGCGGCAATCTTCATTGGCCGTGGTGGAGGCCATGAAGATGCTGAAAAAGACAGGGATAAAGGGGAAGGAGCTGGTTTTGGAAGCGCCGGAAAGGCGCTGTAGCTGCGAGAGCCTTTTGCGGCAAGCAATCAAGAGCAGGAGATCGTGATGTGACAGGGTTGGAGATTGCCGTTGAAACCGTGGCTGACTTTTGCGGTCAAAGGCTTTGTGAAATTTTTGAATTGAGGCTGAGAAGCCAAGTTCCACAAAGGACTGACTTTGTCGAGACGCCTCTCCTCTCCTCTCTCCTCTCTCCTCTCCTCTCCCCTCTCCCCTCCCCTCTCCCCTCTCCCCTTGTTTCTTGCTTTTGGGCCCCCGTTCGCTGTTGCTTCATATGGTTTATGTTATGCGCGCTCTTACGCAATGCATACGACCGGCCATAATATTTGGCCCAAGGTACATCTTCTGCACAGCAACGTGCCGAAATTGCAGCGATGGACGCAGAAAATAGACCCGCCGCTGTACAGGAAATTTGGAATCAAAGAAGCCGCCAGACAAGCGCATCAAGCCGCGTTCCCATTACCTGGGAGTTTGATTGCCATGATATTCATTGCGCAGGCAGATTTGAATGAGCAACAGCGAGAACGCCTAGTATCGGCAATGAAGGCACAAAATATTCCAATGGAACTACGAGTATCAGGCAGTTAAGACACAGTTTCTCCAACTTTTCTGTGTGAGTAGAACCAGCATTAAAGCGATCCACAACTTCAACACCGCCCTGGCGGTCGTAAGCGTCGAACATACTTCATCGAAGAACACGGCGCCATGGATGGCGAAGAAGGCTATTGGGTGACCGATGAAACAATCGGTGAACAAGGTTTCATGGCGCTGTACGACGAAGATCATTTCTTGTGTTGAAGGCTGATGGACAAGGCTATCGTAGAAGGAAAATCTGCGGCAGAAGATTCAGGAAAGGTAAAGGAAAAGGAAAAGGTCGAAAGAGGCCAGGTTTCAGGCGCCTTGGTCGGGGAAAAGGCAGTTCGCGCATGACAGAAATTCTTTTTGAATATGAAGATCCGGACTCCTCCTTCCTTGGATTCCTTGGTAAAGGCAAAGGCAAGAAAGACAACAAGTCTTACACCCCGCAATGGCAACAGCCATATTACGGAAAAGGAAACAAAGGCAAGGATCAACATCCATTTGCAGGAAAGGCCAAAGGAAAGAGCAAGAAAGGAAAGGCCAATATGACAGAAGATCCCTCTGCCACTTCGACAACAGCAGACAACACCTCTTGGCAAGGTGATGATGCGAGTGGTGTAGGTACCGAGGACTGGGGTTATTCTGGAGAAGACTGGTATCAGTCCGGATGGCGCGATAGTTTCACTTCGTACTGTGTAGAGCACGTTGAGTGGTCGGACAAGACAGACCGACAAGATGATATTTCGCGTGCGCACGAGAACGCTACAACCGAACTAACGGTTAATGCTTTCGGCACTTGCGCAGAAGGAATACACAAAGACATAAAGTCAAAGCAGACTTCACTTGTATCCTTTTGCGCCCAACACTCTGAACAGTCCTTCCTTATAGTTCATTGATTGACCTTAGCCGAGAGCCGACGTTCGTGTTTTTGGATACAGGATGCACGCGGTCGATGGGATCGAGACATGCCGTGAACCGTTTGATGCAGGCATGTTCGAAACAGGAACCAAATTTCAAACCTCATTTGGTTCAAGACGGTACCATGTCGGAGTATGTTTACGTTCGCAAACGGGGAAACGTCCATGATCACTCAGAGATTGGTCATGTACTTTGCCCGTTCTAACGGAAGTTCTGTTTCGACCACCATAGACATTCTGGATATGGGTAAGGTTCCGATTTTGTTCAGCAAATCTTGAGTTTGAACTTATGCATAATTACTGCAGCCGGAGAATTCCTTACTTGCCAGAAGTTTGGTCTAAAGAACTTTCCGTTGTCCGTGTCGACCTCCGACCATACCGTTCTTAATGTCCTCGACCTTGCTCGTGCAGATCGACAACCGTCTCACAGTTTTGCAGCCATTACTTGTCCAGCTTGCAACGGCAAACGCAGACCTCATACTTACGACAAGACTTGCAAGAAGACAAAGGATACTGCCGAACTACCGGCCAAGCCAGATAAGTCCTCTGAAGATGTTCCTCCGGTTCGACATACGATTAAGATGAAGCCTCGTACATCAGCAGACGACAAAGGTCGTTTTGATACGATTCCGACGGAAGCCCCGGACGTTGGCTTCCGCCCTACTATCATGGCAGGTGGTACTCAGCTAACTTATAAGTCCACTTACGCGGGCACGTGCCCAACTGACTTATAAGTGACTTAGCAAGAGTTATAAGTGACTTAGCCGGCCGTGGGTAAGTCACTTACAAGTGACTTACGCCCGTCACTTATAAGTTGGAGCTAAGTCCGTTCCACGTGCACATTTCTGCGCCAGGAGGGGCAGCGTTCATGGCTGAAAATTCGGAATTTTCTCGCAACTCACGGCTGATAACTTCATGGCTGATAACTCCGGCGCAGTGCGATTGAGGTGCTAGAGAGGTTGTTTGAGCTAGCGTCTGAGCTCCCGGCGCAGCGCGTTTGAGGTGCTAGAGAGGTTGTTTGAGCTATAGAGAGGTTGTTTGAGTTTGTGGCTTGCAAACGAGCTTGTCCAAGGAAGTTCCTCAGTTACGGGGGATTGTGTAACTCGGAAGTTTCTCGTCCAAGGAAGTTCCTCAGTTACGGGGGATTGTGTAACTCGGAAGTTTCTCGTTTCATGGGGGGTATAAATTCATCGAACTGTGCGACAGTTTCGATCCAAGTGTTGCCTTTGCGTGTAAGGCTATTTCATTATAAGTGAGGCAAATTTCATTATGTTTGGGTCACAATAGAGTTGCGCTCAAGCCAAAATACCCAAAGGACCCGAGACTGCAGCAGTTGTTTTCCTTCGCAGTCTGTGCTCCAAACAGGTGAAGATTCCCCAGCCCCCACACCGATTTCAGGTGTAGGTTCCAAGACCCCCTGCACATTAGTCGTGTTAATGTGCAAGCACGATTGGTAGACCTGCAGCACCACCTTCCGATCATTTGTCAGTCAGTGAAAGCTGGGGTTGAGTGTGGTTTTGACTCTAAGCTTATAGGCGTTGCCTCTAAAGAATCCACCTCGTGCAACAAAAAGTTGAGGCCAGACCTCACTGGACTCAAGAGGCCTAGAGAATTCGTAGGCACTCATTCTCACCTAGGCAGACCTCCTCTTTCATGTAGTAGAGCGGCTTACCTGAGCATACTTCCACAGGCATATATTTATTTTTGGATTCAGCACATGAAAGAGGTTTGAGAAAGCTGAACCCGTTTTGGTGAAAGGCACGAGGGGCCACTTCCTCAGTTGAGTAACTTAGGACTTAGTTCTGCCAAAGTGCAACAACAGAAAAAATGAACACAATCCAATTCTGTCAAGGTTGGTTTTGAGATGTTGTTTGTCCATTGACAAGATGTTTTAACAAGCCTCGCTATCTTCCTTTGAAACCACCACACGCCATAGCATATCCAGCGTCCGACTGGACTTCAAAACCTTGGAACACCAGGAACACACTGTACCATGTTTGTGAGAGCATCGAACACTGCACAATATGTTATTGGTCTGACAGTCAACTTTCTTTTTGAAATTCTGATTAGTGCACATGTAGAGTGTGACAACATCTGATTGAGAGAAGAATGTTCTGAGTGGATCCAAGCAACATCCATAGAAAACAGGCTTGCAACATTGCTATGCTTTGCAGCCCCGGGTCCGCTGAGTAG